TAATAATAATAATAATGATAATAATAATAGTAATAATAATAATAATGATAATAGTGATAACAATGATAACAGGAATAGCAATAACAAATAATGATAATAATAACAATAATAATAATAATGATAATAATAATAATAATAATAATAATAATAATAATAATAATAATAATAATGATAATGATAATGATAATAATAATGATAATTATAACGGCAACAATAGTAATAATGATAATCATAACAGCAACAATAATGATAATGATGATAACAACAATAATAATGATAACAATGATAATAATAACAATAATAATCATGATGATGACAATAAAAAGTATATAAGAATGATGGTAGTAATAACATTTATACTGATAATCAGACAATAGTGGTAGTTATTGTAGTGATTATTATTATTATAATTATCATTATTATAATAATCATTATCATTATCATCAATGCTGCTATTACTACTACTACTACTACTGTGTCTGTAAATTGATATTGTTGTTATTATCATTATTATCTGTATCAGATTTAAACCATTTTCTTATTATTAGCATCGGGGCGTTTAATCTGTATACCATATGCATTGTTGCAAACATGGCAGACTTGTATGCGTAGTACCATTAAGTGTCAAAATCCTATAAACCAGATACGATAAAGGTCTCGTTCGGACAATTATCATCTTTTCGTCATAACGTTAAAAGGGGGGAGGGGGGTATGGCCAAGTGTAGAGAGATAAAGTAATTTTTGATCCAGCTGAGGATGGGAACAATAGAAAAGAAATCAAATCAGCTTTCTAAATCTTGGCGAGGTGTTTATAGGATCGAAACTCTCTCTTGACGTAAACACAACGATTCATTTGTTTTGCGGTGTTCGAGACTGAATCACTTTCGAAACCCATCAATATGATACACTTTTTCACTTTTTTTCCTTTTTTGTTGGAGTATATTTTTTATTAAAAATGTAAGACCCCGCTGCTGGCTGAGGAGATGAAATGAAAGCTGCAGTCATGAGGTTTAATTGTAACCGGATATCTATCGATGAAATGGTATCCCTACGCGGTATTCAACGAAGATACTTATAGAAGCTGCAGTTGTTAGCGAAATGCCTCGGTTTCATTCTCTCTCTCTCTCTCTCTCTCTCTCTCTCTCTCTCTCTCTCTCTCTCTCTCTCTCTCTCTCTCTCTCTCTCTCTCTCTCTCTCTCTCTCTCTCTCTCCCCATCGCGTATGCCCCTGTGTTTTCTCCTAGTAAAATGAAATGCACTGGGTGGAAATTACGCGATTTTCTGCAGTCTTTGCCAATCTGGAGCATGATCTTAAATAGCATGATCTTAATGTTGAAAAGGCGAATAATTTATTATTATTATCATTTTCATTGTTAATGTTAATACATTATTATCATTATCAGTTATTTCATTATCATTGTTATTATTGTTATTGTTATTACTATCATCATTATTATCAATATTATTATAACTATTGTTATTCATATTACTATTATTATCATTAGCATTATTATTTACTATCATCATTATTATTATCATCATCATTATGATTGCTGTTTTCATCGTTTCACTTAATGTTATTATTACCATCATTGTTTTTTATTATTATTATAACGTTTTTTTATTCTTTTGGAATCTCATTGCAAGTCAAGATTGGTAATTTTGCAAAGGATAATTCTAAATTCTAGAAATAATACTGTTTCTATTGCTGTTGTTTGTTATTTTATTAAATGATTAAGCCATTACGGTGAAATTAACGATAAGTGCAACAACAGTGATGGTAATGGTAATTTATGACTTATAATTATCCACAATTATTATCATCTTTTATTATTATTGTTGTTAGTGTTGCTTTGTTTTTGTTGTTGTTATTATTTGCATTAATGTTGCTATTTATTTATTATAATTATTAATTAATATTAGTGTATCATTATCATAATCATTATTATCATTGCTATTACTATAATTGTTGCTGCTGTTATTGTTACAAATATAATAATAATAATAATAGTTATTATTATTATCATTATTATTATTATCATTATTGTTATTATCATTATTATTATTATTATCGTCATCATCATTATCATCAGTATCATTGTTATCATTATTATTATTATTATCATTATCATTATTATCATTATCATTATTATTATTATCATTATCATTATTATTATTATCATTATCATTATTATTATTATCATTATCATTATTATCATTATTGTTATTATCATTATTATTATTATTATTATTATCATTATTATTATTATTATCATTATTATTATTATTATTATCATTATTGTTATTATCATTATTATTATTATTATTATCATTATTGTTATTATCATTATTATTATTATCATTATTATTATTATCATTATTATTATTATCATTATTGTTATTATCATTATTATTATTATTATTATCATTATTGTTATTATCATTATTATTATTATTATTATTATCATTATCATTATTATCATTATCATTATTATCATTATCATTATTATTATTATTATTATTATTATTATTATTATCGTCATCATTGTGGTTTCTATTATTAGTCTGATAGAATATGAAAGTAATAATAATGTTGATAATGATAATAGTATTATTTTCATTATCATTACTATTATCACCATCATCATTATTATTTAGTAGTAGTATCATTATTAGTAAATTAGTATTACGTATTATCATCGCAATCATTATAATTGTTATTGTCAATATTGTAATCATTATTATTAGTTATTTCTATTGTTATAATCATTATATTTTAACTTTATTATTTGTATTATTATTGTTGTTGTTGTTAATGTTATTATTATTGTCATCGTTATTGATATTAATATTATCAGTATTATTATAATCATTGTAATTATTATCATTATCATTATTATCATTCTTTTATTACTATTATCATTATCACTCTTATCGTCATCATTGTGGTTTCTATTATTAGTCTGATAGAATATGAAAGTAATAATAATGTTGATAATGATAATAGTTATCAATAGATATTGTTAAAGTTATTGTAATTGTTATCTTTATTATCATTGTAATGATGATGATTTCTTTATCATTGATATTTTTTATTATCATCATCATCATCATCAGTATTATCATCATTATTGTTATTATCATTACTATTATTACCACTGTTGTTATCATTACCATTATCGTTATCATTATTATTATTATTATTATTATCATTATTATTATTATCATTATTATTATTATCATTATCCTAATTATTATTATTATTATTACTATTACTATTATTATCAATGTTATCATCCTTACTACTACTACCATTTTCACCATCATTATTATATTATTAATAATATCAATATCATATTTAGTAGTAGTAGTATCAGTATTATCATCATCATCATCATCATCATCATCGTCATCATCATTAACAACAAAATAGCCACATTATTATCACCATTATCGTCATTACCAGGATAATAAATTGCCTTTGCTGCAATTATTAGCACTGTTCCCGTTATCATGATCAGAAAACAAGAAAAATATTAAATATACACATAATTGTTTTTCATGCTATTATTTGATAAAACTAGCACTTTAATCAAAATCCTCATAGTATAATAGCTATTGACTTCAGTTCACGCCATTTAACACAATATCAGATTAAAAAGTAATTGTGACAGTCCAATGAATATAATTAAAAAAGCAATTTGTACAATCATAAATTACCTATTTTAGAACAGAGGAAGAAGCGAATTTGCTAATGGCAACTCAACGGCGTAAGACAATTTGAAAAAAAAATATATCAATCAATGAATAATAATAATTATGATTATAATAATAATAATAATAATAATAATAATAACAATAATAACAATAATAATAATAATAATAATAATAATAATAATAATAATAATAACAATAATAATAATGATAATAATGATAATAATAATAATAATAATAATGATAATGATAATAATAATAATAATAATAATAATGATAATAATGATAATAATAATAATAATAATAATAATAATAATAATAATAATAATAATAATGATAATGATAATGATAATGATGATAATGATAATAATAATAATAATAATAATAATGATAATAATAATGATAATAACGATAATGATAACAATAATAATAACAATAATAATAATAACAACAACAATAATAGTCATTCTAAAACAAAACATCTCTTCAGTAATAATTCTAATAGATACTAGCCTATCATAATGATTTATCCTGAAGTACTGAACAAGCAAACTAGTAATTGACAAGTAGTGAACAAATCATTGATAAATGGACTAAAAAAAAACGCTTAACTAACATTAATCAGGAAACACAATATTCCATAAGATGATTGTGATCATTGGAACTATCCATAGGAAATCATTAATTCATTTCTGCAATTGCAAACTAGCAAATAGTAAGTAGGTAAAAAAGTAATTGTAAGTGACTTACAAGCAAATATCTTTTAAAATGAATTCTGAAACATCCATATCCCATCACTAGTAATTTTCCCTTATAAAACAGACAATCAAAAATAATCTATTTAAATAGGAAATATTCAAATTAGCGAATAGAAAATATATTTTAAATTGCCTAAAGTAACTAACAAACAAGTATCTTTGAATCGTTAATTTTAATACATTTATATCAGATTAAAATGCAATTTTATCAAAGAAGAGTCGAGTAAAATAGTTTTTTTTTTTAATGAACGAACTAGCAAATAGCAATAAACCCCCCCCCCTCTCGCTATTCCCACGTGTGTTCGTGTGCCTTTCATTGACTTTGACTTCGGTTTCGTTAGATTTCCCCCTTTTTTTTGTTGGTAATTGAATATATACCCGACTTTACTTTGACACTTTTGATCATCCAGAGACTTTTTTTTATTTGCATATGTATATTAATTCAGAGAGTTATCTAATACGAAGTTTATTCATATCTCAGGCATTTAGGAAGGAAAAACGGTCGACGAGCCGTGAACGGATTGAGACACGCCGAGGTAGCCTGGCGAGAGGTTCAAACTTATTTTTCTCTCGATTTTATTCCTCCTTTTGCCTCGATTTCTGCGTTTTGTGCTCCTTCCTTCTGTGTGGCGTCCTCGAGGTTTCCTTGCTGTTCGTCTGTGAAGCGAGGAAGAGGTAATTCTACGTGGGTTTTTCTTTATTTTTAGTGGAAATGAGTAATGGACTTTTATAACGAGGTTTTACTTCCCCCCCAAAATAGGGATTGAATTTTGAGGCTCTTTAATGTTTTCTTTCTTCCTTTTAATTTTATGTTTTTTGTTTTTTTCTGGGTTGGTTTTTGTCTTTTGGCCTTTGTAGGTTAATGTGTAGAAGAGGGTAGTGGGTTATTTTCGAAACAATTTTGATATTTTTCTTGCATGAAATCCACTGCTTTCAACGATTCTAGGCCTTGTTCCTTGTGCAAATGAATCGGTTTTTATGATCACCATTTCCATTAACAATCTTGATTTGATAGTCCCGATAGCAGGAGAGGGCATGAGGTATAGGAGGGAAATTATGGGGTAAAACAGGACCCCCGTGGTTAAATAGAACGACCTAACGCAACTTCCAACCTAACTTAACACCGTGGTATATATTCCCTAGCCGTGGTAATGTATAGGCCTACTACCCTTGGGAAGCATTTGCAAACATATTGCCATAGAAGAAGTTTATCTTGGTTTGTATTGTTCTATCATTTCATGTAGGTTTTATGACCCAAAGCTGCTACTACCTTATACTAGATATTGTCGTTTTAATTTTTTTTTTCCCCCTTTTTATTTATTTATTTATTTTTTATTGTCGCTTGTTCATTTCTTTTTTTTCTCTTGTGGCTAGGCTATGGTGTAGCCAAATTACATTCTGTAATTTTATGAATAGAAATGTCGCTGTTCACAAAATACATACACACCCTATCAGTATTTAAATTAATGGAAATGTCTAATGTTACCGAGAGTGACGCCCACACAGAGGAGAATACACATTGCCAACACAGGTACAACTTCTCCGGCCTCAAATTTATCACAAAATGATCATTTCTTTTTTTTTCTCTTGTGGCTAGGCTATGGTGTAGCCAAATTACATTCTGTAATTTTATGAATAGAAATGTCGCTGTTCACAAAATACATACACACCCTATCAGTATTTAAATTAATGGAAATGTCTAATGTTACCGAGAGTGACGCCCACACAGAGGAGAATACACATTGCCAACACAGGTACAACTTCTCCGGCCTCAAATTTATCACAAAATGATGAAAACACTTGCTGCGCGACGGCATTTGGACTAGCCCCCTCGCACGGCCAGTTCTCTTAATGTCGCATTTTCTGTAATTTGGCAACAGGTGGTGATAAAGTGAAGTAAGGGGGAGGGGGGAGGTGGTGGCCTGCTCCCCCTTTCTCAGGAATAAATGGAAGGCAGGAAGGGTTAGGTTTGGAATTTTGGGTTCACATGATACCTAGGTTTTTGGGACTTTGGCTCTGGAGGTAGTTATTATTCTCGTTAACGAATTCCATGAATTATTCAGGATAAAAGTAACAAATACTAATGTTTGAAATAATACAGCCACACTGATGCTTCTGACCAATAGCACAAGAGAGATGGAGAGATGGATACCCACATTCAATGCCCTACCCTAATAGATTTCCAGAGGAATGTGATGGACTCCATTTTCCAAGAGTTTCCAAGAGCCGTCAAAATCTGACAGACTTCCTTCATGTATATTTGAAAACAGAGGAGTCCTTTCTTAATTGAGAGTAAATGCCTATGTTCTATCATGTAAAAATAATTAGAAAGGGTTTCTTTGCTCTCCCTAGGATGTAAGGTGCAGAAGCCACAGTAAAAGTGGATTTGCAAGTCTGTATTTATGGACAAACCTTGGTGTTTCATTTGCTTGCTATAGATTGTGTTTATACTTTTTATAGCTTGTAACGTAGTTTTTCTTCTGCATTTGTATTTTCCGTTCCCCTATATTCACTGTACTTATTTGTTTATTGCTATTGGTATTTAATTCAACATATTTTCTTTTTAAAAATTTTATATTCAATTCAATAATTTTCTCTTCTCTCAAAGCAGCAATTTTCATCATATAAACATTTATACAATCATAATTATTTTCTTGCTATTTATTGCACCATTAATACAATCTCTTAATAATCACATATGCAAATACAAGAGGCTGACCATTTTATCATTATATACTTATTGTTTTCTTCTGTGCATTACATCAAAAATTGATTCTGAAAGTTATGAAATGTGATTGCAAGTACTAGGTCAATTTCTTGTACACAGTTATAAATTTATGAACTCTTTTTTTTGGGGGGGGGAGAAATGCAGTGACAATAAATAAACTATCTAATAAAACTTTGCTTTTTAGATCTAACATATAAGATTGTTTAACTTCAAACTTGTGAGGTACATTATACTGTTATTGCCATGAAGCATAAGCGAATAAAATACAATTGATGATATTTGTTACCTAGAGCAATGCACCCTCCAGGTACAAAGTCCAAGAACCAGGCTGTCAAACGAACCCAGAATGCCAAACCGAACCTTTTCTACTTTCAATTTATTCCTTTTTAAACCCCCCACCCCCCTATTAGCACTTCATGCTAAATTAGGGAAAATGCAACATTGAGAACTCTCTGTGTGAGGGTTTTATGGACTTAGACTCTGAGCAGTGATATGCATCACCACCGCTTCATGGTAAGTAGGGGGCTGCTGCAGCTGTACCTGTGTTGTTTATTACTCTATTTCTCTATAAGATGGCAGTGTCCATTTCCCTCTATCTTTTTGCATTGCTCTCGGTAACATAACTTAATTAATTTTTTTCATTATATTCAAGTTATTTTAACTTGTTTTTGAAACATATTTCGAAGAACTGATAAGTGGGTGTCCTTTTTTTTTTTTTTTTTTTTTTTTTTTTTTTTTTTTTTTTTTTTTTTTTTAATTAATAATACCAGAACATAAACATTCTTCCCAGTATCAAAAGGGCAAGCCTCAGTTTTTAGGATTAGTAGTGATTAGTTTTGCATATAGGTTGTATTAATTGCTGATTAATTTTTTTTACCTACAGATATTTAGGGAATTGAAATATCATTAGTTAATATCCAAAACAGTATTGCAGGAGTAGTGGCCATTGTCCAGGAGAGACTAAAAGATTTGTACCATATACTTTCTAGTAGGAGAGGGTTTTGACCAGTCATTTACTGGGCCGTAAATCACCAGGGAGATCTCCATGCTCGTATCATGCTAGACTGTATGTGGGGAAGGTTTATTGGACTTGGACTTAAAGTTAAGACCGCTATAGTTTGCATCCCTGTGTATACTCTCTTCCGTAGCTGGTGGGGCCCATGTCCCTTATTTATGCAGGGAGTGAAACCTTTTATTCTTTTGAGGCAGTATTACTTAATTTACATTCTCTTGACAGTTGCCATGATTATCTGTGATTTTACAAATAAGGCTCTGACTTTAAAATGATTCCAGATTCACCATGTCGACCTCCATAGCACCAGTGATTGACCAGGAAAATTCCATTGCTCAGCGAGGGGCAAAGATGAAGACGCATGTAGGACTGGGAGTTCACACTGCACAAGGCAAGTCTGAGTTTTTCTTTGTTGCTCAATATCTTAATGTTGAAGTGTAGGGTGCTAAGCGTTACTGCATTTTGCACCTAGATGGAGGGGGGGGTAGCTTATCCTATCTATTCTTAGGTTTATTTGTGTAAGTTGGTAAAACAGTTTGCTTTGTTTGTGTGTATTGTGTGTTGTGGGAGCCTGTTCCAGCCATGAATGGTACATGAAAGTGTGAATCTGTTTTTATGTTATCATACATTGCAATATGGATTTCATTTGCAGCTAAGAATGTGCAGTACACATGGTATGAATAACTCTCAACTATTTCATTTCCTGTTACTCACTCTCTTTCGCTTTTTCTTTTTTTCTCTTTTTCTGTCACACAAATCATTTATCTGAACAGGAGCATCTCAAGGTCTGGCAGTTCAAAACCAGAAGAGATTCAGCCAAGTGTCCGCCTTGTCTCACATGAAGCCCCGTTCCTTTGGGGACATCAGCAACCGCCTGGGCCAAGTGAGTGAAGGTGTTCCTGGTGGTTCAGTGAAGAAGATGCAAAAGCAGGCTGTCCCTTCCACACGTAAGGGAAATGTGGTTTGTTTTCTCTTTTAGGGTTCATTTGTTTTATACTGAAATTTGTTACTCTTTTTTATGCTTGTATTTAATTATTTTTTAGAGGTTAGAAAGTAACCATTTTAAAAAGTTTGTATATTCAAGTATGTATGTTGCACATTATGGAATTTATAATATGAACTGAAATGCAAACTCCTGGTTTCATGTAATCTTAAAGCAGCATACCTATGTCTAAGGGAATTAATATGCTTATTTATAACCTTGTGAAATTCAACTGTGCTGATCAGAGTTCTACTTAAATTGATGTGAATGAAATGTTCTATGTAAACCAGTGATTATTCTTGACCATACATAAATCTGATACAGAAATGGAGCCCGAATTCTTCCCCGAAATCAAGGAAAAGGAAGGTGAGAATCGTCAACTTTGGTCAGTTTAGAGTGTGGTACTTTGGCCAGTGTTAATCTGTTTTTTTTTTTTTTTTCTTGCTTGCTTGCTTACTTTACTTTGTATGTAACAGTTTAATTGGTTTCTCAGTGTTTCTCCATTCATATAAATTTCAATTTTCTTTTATCATTGTTCATTGTTTTCTTTCATTATTGTCAATATGAAGAGTAATTGTATTATAATTGCTAATGATTCTGTTTGCCCCTTCCCCCCCCCTTCCCCCCCAGATTATTCGGACATCTTCCCAGCCTCGCTTAACTTGTCGGACCAGCACATCAGCAAGCTCGTTCGCTTCTGGGAGGTCTGCAGACGACCCGAGCTGAGTGCACTCTCTCCTTCCAAGATCCCCAAGTCCCCCCCGAGGTCATTCTCTCTCATGTCCACTGTGAGAGGTAGGGCTTTATAATTGCTGTCAACGTGTCTTTATCCCATTACTGCCGCTTAAATGTAGTGTCCACTGTCGTATTGTATTGTGAAATGTCTCCGTTTGGTCCAAAATTGGGTGAGTCTCCAAGTGGTCAATTAGCTGACCTCGTAACCTCACCTGATTTTGCCTTTCCTCAAATTTTTTTGGGGATTTTTTTTTTTTTTTTTTTTTTTTTTTTACTAAATCAATATCAGTGCTATTATTATTGTAGAAATATAATTGTACCACTGTTACTGACTTTACTAAACAATAATGTAAGACAGAAAAAAATACTTCCTAAAACTGAGGAAAGGGGTAAACAAGTGAAATGGGTTGTATTAGTAATTGCCTCATTGGTAAATGATATGTAGAGCGATCTGTGTAAAGACCATTAATAAACTAAACACGGTGGGCATTGCTTGTAAGCACATGCCGTACCTGGTGACATCAGATTTTTTTAAAATTCTCTTTCTCTCTTTCTCTCTCTTTCTCTCTCTTTCTCTCTCTTTCTCTCTCTTTCTCTCTCTTTCTCTCTCTTTCTCTCTCTTTCTCTCTCTTTCTCTCTCTTCTCTCTCTCTCTTTCTCTCTCTCTTCTCTCTCTCTCTCTCTCTCTCTCTCTCTCTCTCTCTCTCTCTCTCTCTCTCTCTCTCTCTCTCTCTCTCTCTCTCTCTCTCTCTCTCTCTCTCTCTCTTTTCTTTCCTCTAAGATGTATTACAAGATCACAATCATAGTTGGTCATAGTTGTTGTTAATTAACTATAGTATTTTTGATATTATATCCATTACTCTCATGACCAAAGAATCTGAATATTAACCGGTATATATTGTAAATCTGTATTTCTCATGTGACACTCCGTTCATCCACAGAGCCCAAGAAAGTGGTCAACCTGGAACCGGTGATGGGGGACATATTTGACCTTCCTCCATCCTGGGAATAAACGAGGCCAATGCGGCTTACATGTGTTCGTCTTTTCTTAATGTTTTTTTTTTTTTCCCCCCCTTTATGGTGTCTTTGAGTTCATAATAAACGTAACAAAACTGAAGGCTTTTTATGTGTTTTCGCTTTTTTTTTTCTTTCTTTTTTAAGGACTCAGGCCAACTCCTTGGGGAAAATGGAAGTAGAAGTGGTGTTTCACCTTTCTTTTGCATTTATAAGTTGCATTTTTCATTAGATTGTATGTATTTATCTGTGATACTCCTTTCCAAAACTTTTCCATTAGGTGTAAGTGCACTTGAAATATTTTATAGTCAGGTGAAAGAAGGCTCTACATTGCTGTGTGTATTGTCTGCATGGGAGTGTAAGCCATGCATTTTTTATAATTTGTATACCTTTTGGAAGAAAGGACGTTTTTTATTAGTCCAACGGCTTTTTCCCTTTTTAATAAAGTCCAAAGAAAAATATATACATGAACTAAGTTTTATTCCCCTTCTGAGCTCCCTCCTTCATATCAGTTTGTATTCAGGAAGTAACATATTTTATTGTACAGCAGAATTCTAGTAAACTAGATTATGCAGTGTTGTATTTTGAGTACTTAAATATAGATACTTTTAGTCTGCATCCAAATATTTTGTGATGTAAATTGGAGAATAAATATTTTTTTACATTATAGTCTTTATTAATGTACTAACACTAAGATGCTATATGCTTAAGTGTTATTGTGTAGTCAGATTGAAGTGAAATTTGGTGAAGCATAAGCCAAAGTGCAAAATGTCTAGTACTGTAATTTCCAAATTGCTGGGTAGGAACTGGTCACAGGAAGACATGAGACTTGTTTACCATAAAGTTCAATAATGCAAGGAAGTAAATATAAATAGTGTAAATGTTTGAATTATTCTCAAATAATAGGCCTATATATATGTAAAGGAAAGCCTACTAGTTTACCCCATCCTGTTTACTTTTTGGTGTTATGGGATGGAGGTAGGGGGGTCTGAGGATTTATTAAATGTCAAAGGTAGAGCATTGTGCAGAAAAATCTGGGAGCCATCAGAATGGATTGGCAATAACCTGATTCATCAACTAACACTGCAACATTAGTGTGTGTATTATGAAATGATTACCTATCCCATTTTTCTCATTTGCTCATTGTTATTTCTCATTTCTGTTACACAAGGATAAACACTTGTATGTATTCTCCTGTATGAGGAATATTGCTTAACTTTTCCATAAATAAGCTTCAATACTCGAGCCTTAAATGTTGATAGTGTTTTATGTTGATTTCAAAAGCACTCTTCAATAATCAATTTTTAAAAAAAATGTATATAAGGATGAAGAGCACTGGATTTTAGAATTTTATATTAATAACCATGTATACAAACAAATAATTTTCATACCTCAATTACAAGAAAATGGCCAAAAAGTTACAGAAATGGTCAAGTATTTGGGTTATCATTTTTTATGATAATTTAGTATTAGATTTTTTTCTCTAAATTAGTAAGTATTTTATCTTCAACCTTAGGCTTGCGCATACACTTTCTCTCACACACGCACATGCACACGTA